GTTTTTCAAAGCTAAATTGATAAAACAGCTCCCTATGCAATTAAAAACCTGCACAGCTGAATAGCTGGCTTTGGAAAGCACCAACCTCGTAATTTATCAGGTTGATTTATAAACAGAGAGAAAATATCTGAGGACAGGAAAGGAATTTCATGGACATTTCAACAACATATCAAAACTACAGTGCATTTTATCATCTCCAGATTGAGTTTTGTGCTCATTTCCATTGGGGGGGAGGAAGGGAGGAAGAAAAGCTGTACCATGGCTGCCTTTCCAAAGCAGTTTCCAAGAACAAATTAAGGAGTGAAAGGAGGGAAAAAAAAAAAATAAAATAAAGCCACACTTTCCCTGCCTTCCCTTATGAAGGGAGGAAAGCCAGGATCTCACTAAAGGTACTACTTTCTAACCTAAAGTCCTACAACTGCAGCTTACATAGTCTCTGAAGAGTCCCATGAAGAGGGCTGGAAAAAAAACAGGTTTAATGTGAACTTCAGATACAAGGAAGGAGTGTTGCAGGAAAAACACTTGGCTAGTTTAACCCTTTAAAAAAGCAAATATGTGCTCACACTAACAGGATAGCCAAAGTGCCTTTCCCCCATGTTACCTCTGGCACCAGTACTGGACCACAGACTTTGCTATGGCTGATAGGGTACAACAGAGGGGAAAAAGCAACCCAAGCAACCAACCAAGGTGACTGACGACCACTACTAATCAGAAACTATTTAGAACTGTGCTTGCTGAACATACATGAGGAGGCCACAGCTCCCGGTGGCACCAGGGCACTATTGTGCATGAGGCTGCAAGAACAGGTACACTTTAAAACGTTAGCAGTATCATTTTTGTTAACAGAACATAATGAAAAGTAACTCCTGTGCATGAAAAGCAGACACTTTTAGAACCCATTTCTGAATTTAATTTCAATCCTAGACTTCAGACACTTCAGTAGCATTTGAATTGACTTATCAGCAATCTGGTTAGGTTTATTTTGTGCAAGACTCTGAGATGTGCTTTGGAGAAAAATGCTGCAAAGATGTAGAAAGAGAAGTTTGTGGGGTTTTGGATCTTTGACAAGATCCAAGTCAGAAATGCTGCGACCTGCACTAATTTGGCAAATATTTTAGACAGAATTATTTCTAAAATTTCATTAGACTCAGCAGAAAGATGGGGAAATCAGAAACACAAACAGGACTTTCTTGTGCTCAAGTGACTCAGGAGCATTTTCAATCCCATGCCACTAAAGCATTTAACAACACTTGACTGGCAGCATAACCCGTATTTAGAGACATTCAGAACTCAGCTGTCATCTTGGGCAACTAAATAAATTGATCAGCTGTAGGCACAGATATCAAACAGCACATACATGCACAACAGTCTTCATTCTCACTGCTAACAGAAGACTTATCATAAGCAGCAAAGGTGCATTTACGTTATGGTACAGAATTAGCTTTAGTTGGTGCAATACAATTTCTGTTACAGTCTCAGATGTAGGCCCGCTAACATAACTGTGCTAGCTCATGTTAGCAAATGTGATTAATCCAAGCAAAAACTCCAAATCTTTTTTGGGAAAGGGCCATTTATTTGTTCTTCTGTGTAATGCAGAAGATCTTAGCCCATAACTGAAGTTTTTTAGTTCAACAGCAATACACAGAATAAACACTTTGGATGTCTGCAAGACTTCAGTCTGGATATATCCAGGATAACACTATTCTTGCCACCAGCAACTATGACATTTCAGCAAAATGCTTGGTAAGGAACACAACACTGCATACCCATCACAGATGGCTGGAGAGGGAGAGTGTCTTCAGACTGCTGGCTAGTTGGGTTGCTGTTTACCTATGCTAAATATTCAGGTTTATTGAACATCCTCTTAAAGGCTTTTCAAAGGAGTTTCAGAAGGTTAAAAATCCTGCTTTGTGTCCCTACTGACCTTCAGAATGAAAGCAGGATGAACTCCTCCTGCCCACTCACACTCACCCACATTCCTCAGGGCCAGCAGTAGCAGCACATCCTCTCTTCAACAATTGTGCTAAATTATTGCAGAAAAGGTCTGGCATCTCTGACAGCAAGAGGTTCAAGTTGCACACTGCAGACCTCCTTGATGCGTTTAAATCCCACGTACTTGCTCTAGTTGAGCCTATGCTAGGCTGCTCTTAACCCAAAATGCCATGACATTAATTGGTCTAGTAAGTGGTACTGATAGTAAATAATTATAGGGTGGTCCCCAGGGCTGATCATTAGTAGCCACAGGCATGGAGATCCAATTGGTCACATCCATCACAGTGCCTAATTCTGCAGTTCACAGCCATTTACGAGGGATGCGTTTGTTTCAGCTGCACCTTCAGCAATTGGAGATTGTGGGGTGCTGGAGGGGAATAAAAGCTTCCAATTCCCCACACATCTTTTAATACTACACTCTGTTAGTGCACTGGCCATCTGACTGTGCAATTAAAGAATCACTGAAATAATTCTCCCTCTAGTAAAAGAACGCCTCACAAACGCAAAACTGATATTATCCTAGAAATACTCCAAGTCACATGTATGCTGCATGGTGACACAGGGTTTTAAGTAGTTGCTAATTTCAGGCCAGTGTTGAAAATCCCTTGCTTATTCTTAGTTACACAGACATATATCCTACATTCTGGGCCTATTCTGTACATCTGTGTCAACATTTTTTTATTAATACAAAATTTTTAGGAAAAAAACCCAAACTTTCTCATCCTAAGCTACCAAGACTAAAACAAGTAATATGTCCTCTATTTTTACCACTTGTTTTACTGGAGTAATTTATGTCCTAATATTCATAAGGTGATTCCATTAGCACGTTTAAGAAGTGCTAAGAGAAAATCTTTTAATCATGGAGATAATTGTTTATTACAGTTGTCTGTTGCTAATTAGTTTGCAAGCCATATACTCTCTGCTGACGATGCCCAGACAGAGTTCTTACAAACACAGATCTTTTTACATATGTACAAGCTGGATTCTGCACAGGCATACCACTACCACCTGAATGTAAATAAAATGCCCCAAATATTCAAGTTGCATTTAAAGTTGAATTGCTCTACCAAGGAACATTCTTTATCCCAATTCTGAGCAGGTGGAACATGTTATCAGGAGATTGCAACAGCCTGATTCAGGCATTTGATTTACTTTTAAAGCATTTGCCAAAGTACTGCTGTACCATAGCACAGAATGCCCCTTAATACAAAACATACCTACCTGGAAGTGCTCCTTCTCTCCAAACAGGTCATGCAGTATAATTACCCCTAAAACTGTACTATTCATGTTTTAGAAAATATTTATAAAAACCCGAACTATAGAAAGCACTGTTCAGATTTATAACTAACTTAAATTTACTACAAAATCTGACTGTAGCTGTGTGTATTCATCTATTTTTAATCTGACTTCCAAAAGAAATAACATTTGCAAGGCCAACTGTCGATTTCTTCCCTTTCTTCCTCCTCCCAGATACATGACTGGACTTCATTGCCCATTTACAAACTCTCAAAATGGCAAGGCTTTTCAATACAACTAAACCTCTGTAAAACCCTGAAATCTGGGGGTAGACAGAGAACACATCCCAAGCCACTGTGCACAGACAGGGAAAAAAGGAAAATTCAGCAGCTACATTTCTTGTTGGCAGCAGTTGTTCAGCCAAACCAGCAATCATACAGCTCCTGAGGAGCAGCAGCCCATGCTGTCACTTGCACACTGGGGTACATGGAAATCTAGGGAAGGAAGGATTTGGGTAACGAAGGATAACTCCTGAGCAAACCAAGCTTCATCAGTTCTGCTACTTCTGCTTTGGTTTTCAGACAAGGCGTTAATCTCCGTTCCCACTTTCATTAGTACAAATAATCCAGAGAACACAGTGACAACACAGCAGTCAAGTCACGTGCTTCAGCGGATCAAATCCCTAGACATTTCATCAGGCAAAGCAAATTCATTATGGTGTGTTTTTCAAATGAGTCTTATGAGCTGACCCAGGAAAAAAAGATAAAAAGAGAATTTTGGAGCTAGCTCCTATTAGCTTAAAAGGAAGCAGGATTTCAGCCTCTGTGCCATGACCCCTCCGTTGTTCAGCTGTGAGCACACAGCCTGCCTCCAGAGCCACAGCCTTCAAATCTATGCCCATGAAAACAAACATCTCACCCAAGTGCAACTGCCAGTGCAGCAGCAAGGGGAAACAGAAGCTGTGTATCACTAAGCATAGCAGATCTGAACCTTCTATCACAGACAAAAAGAACAGGTAGAGCCAGCTACATAGCTGGAACAAGTTCCATCCTAAGTGAACAAAGCACACCCTTCCATGCAACAGTGTACAGGAGGACAGCATGGCTGGAACAGCTTTCTGAAAGCAACCCATTGCCATTTCATTGCTCAAACTAAAATCACAAGTCATGAAAATAATCAGTCCAATGCATTCTCAGCCAAACAATAAGTAGCATCACTACCACCTCAGCTCTGCACTAGTTTTCAAAAGCCCTGCGGACTTTCTGAACTTAGACCCAGTTTTGGCATAGTTCAGCACAGTATGTACTGACAACCACCCCTCTATCACTCCTTCTTACATTGCCAGAGACAAAAATGCAGCAGAATAGTGAAAAATACTCAAAATGACATGTCAGCAGCCATGAACAAGGACTCAGGCGCTCACAGTTATCAAATTGAGTTGCTCCATCAACCAGAGCTCTGGTTTGAAAGCAGACAACACAGAAGATGAGCTGAAAATGGGAAATCATGCTGTAAAATGATGAGTCCTCAGACTATTTAAGCATCATTACACTTTTCAGTTATGTTTTGACTCAGCTTACAAAGCATCACTTCCAGCAGCACATCTCCATCCTAAACTTGAAGTCAGCAACTTCACAAACATTTCATGCCTTGTGTATTTAACAATCATCACAAACAAAAGAAGCCTGGACTTTGAGTTCTGTGAAACCTCAGAAAATCATTAGCGGTTTTGCTAGCAAGGATTTGACTCAGGGTACAGAAAATAAACTCACATGGTGCATGGAACATCACTAGCACAGATGAATGATCTTTTATAAACTTGTCGAAGTCCTCATCAGTCAGGTGATAAACTACATTTTCTTCATCTGCCCAGGGAGTCTCTGGGGCCTGTGGCTGAGGTGCCTGTGGGCTACAAGAAAAACAGACACAGCTTAAAAACAGCTCTGGTGCTAAGCTATCATTTTGGCAAGTCAGACTGCAAGGAACCACTTTGTGCAGACGTCCAGATATGTATGACCCACTAACCTTACTGAACAGCTTCCATAATTTTACTCACCCAGAACTCGTAAGTGCTGAAACACAGATAAAACCAGAGGAATAAAAAAATTCCACAAGAAGCTCAAGAGGACAGATCAGCAATGGAAGGGATGGAGCGAGCTGATAACCAGACTGCCTGGTTATTACATTATAGAAATCAGATGCATTTTCTGTTACTATTTCACCCTCCTCAGCAGGATGCTCCCTTTCTCACTTTGTAGCTCACAGGAATCATGGCCAATGACAGAAAAAAGTAGTGAGCAGAAACAGCCAATCTAACCAGTCACCCTTAATACAGACAGCATGATTACAGCTGGCAGGGAAAAGAAGGAATTGCAGTGCTGGGACCATGAGCTAGCTACACAGACTGTTTCCCCAGGGGTATATGGTTTTACCCTAAAACAACCCTGTGACCTGGGGAAGCATCATTATATCCTCATTGCAGTGGGCTTGTAGGCCTAATTCTGCAAAGCCACTGAAACGCATTCTTAACTTAAAAGTGACATGTCCTACCAATTTCATTATGATTATACATGAATTTAACCATCTTTGATGGATTAGAGTCAGAGAGACTGCTCAAAGACATGGCGCAAATCTGGAAACTGAATCTAAGCTTCTGTGGGCCAGTTCAGTGCTCATCATCCCACTAAACAATTGCTCTTGGCTTTTATTAATGTATATTAAAAAGAGAATTCGGCAGACATGAACTAAACTATGTTGACATTTATTTATTAAAGCAGTGTTCATGTAAATGACACCCAAACACGCAAACATTTGGAGACAGACTCTGAAGCTATTACTACAAGTGGCAAGGATAAAATGAGTTCCAAATACCCTCCCAAAATTCTCCAAATTCTTTGGCAAAGTACAGATCTGGATGTGACCCCATCTCTGGTGAAAGCACATTTACTATTTTTGATTAAAATGTATTATTGTGTTAGCTGCCTGGAACAAAGAATGGCAAATGGATGAGAACTCTTTTATCCTGCCTTGCTCATTTCTAGGCTGAAAGCCTACTTTGACAAAAAAAGCAGTAGAGAGATATACAGATTCAGATAGCGAATTCTGTTGATGTAAGCAGTGGGTATGATCCAAGAATATTAAGCAATCCATGCAAAACTGTGATGAACACCTCTGCTGCTGATAAATGAACCAAGAAACAAACATCAAAGCGAAGATCAGAGCTGCACTCAGCCAAGCAGCTGGGAAAGAAAAAGAGGCAGGTCCCCATCCACAAGAGTTTACTTTCTAAAGGATCAGCAAATTATCAATTGGGTTGTTGCCAAGCTTATAAGAGAGCAATAACCTGCAGATATGCTGGCAGAGTGAAGGCTTTCCAGAAAACACCATGACATTTAAGGAATCTGGAAGGGGAGTTGAGTTGAGTAGGCAGAGCATGATGAAAATGGACACAGTGGCTACAAAGCACTTGAAGAACACTGGAACACTGGCATGACCTATTTCAGTAAGGAATTAATAAAGCACAGCACAGGATATTTATTCAAATGGCCCAATGTACAATGCTATTCATGCTATTAAGCCTGCACAAGAGTTCATAAGAAGCACCTCAAGGCCTGGATGCAGCAACAAGCAAAATCTAAACCATCATTTAAAACTGAGACAAGGTAGACCCAATGCCTAAAGACCAAAAACAGGATGACAGAAGACTGGAAGAGTTATCAAGAGCTAATTCAGTTAAGAACAGCGAACAAGTTCTTGATTTAACTGAGTAGCTGGTTCTAAGGAAGGGCCTGACAGAAGTCCGCAAGATAAGACAAACTCAGCAGCTAACTGAAGGCAGCAAGAAGCTGTCTGGCTTGCCTACCATTCAGGTTGATACAGCTGTGTATCAGATTTTTTAAGAAGAAAGAAAAAAAGAATTGAGGTATGTACAAGATAGCATCTCTCATGTTAATGCTGTGCTGGAGTTAGGCTGTTTCCCTCTATCATCTCATGAAAACACCATAAAATAGTAGCCAGTGCCTATTAGGAAGATAAGAGAGGTGAAGTACCTGTAAGGCTGATGCATTAGCACACTTCAGCATAAGAAGCACCTTCAGCAAGTAGCAAAAGAAAAGGTGTTGGAGGCCTCCACACTAGCAGCTCTTGTTCTGAGAACATCATGAAAACCATCTATTCAATAATTTAAATAATTCTAACCTTTATTAAGTTATATCATGTCCTCCCCCCAAAAAAACACTTTCAGCACTTCACCGGTAACATTTAAAGGAGAAAAATCAGATAAGGGGGAGAGGAAAGAGAAAACAATTGCTTTTCTGCAGTGTGTACCTAGTGTCCAAAAAAAATAGATCATTTAGTAAGGCTCAATGTCTGCTGGATTCTCTTTCTAGAATCTATGATGACAGCACATGCATGCAGAGTATAAAAACGCACCGGCTCACCTCACCATGTACGCTCTGGCACTGCCGTGCCCCTGCTCTACAGAGCAATGCCCTGCATCAGAGTCACTTCCTAAAACAATTTTAATATTATACTGTTCTGAAATATAGCCTATCCCTGATATAGCTATCTAATTACACTCTGACTTCCCTAAAGCCCTTGCCACACCATTTGACTACTTGTACTGTAGATTCCTCAGAGTAATACAGTATTATGCACATAGCACATTTACCCCATATACGGTTTAACTGCAACATAAATTACTGGCAAAATTCAAGTATGCAGAATTTCTCAATGTGGTTTTCTTAAAAGTTCTATTTAATTTAAAAAACAGGGGCAAGAAGGCTACTGCTCAGATCATCTTTTGGGAAACTAAGAACCATGCACAAACACTAGTGAAGACACACAGCTGTCTTTACCTCTGGACTACTGAAATATCAACCAAAGCCCACAGTGGCTTATTAGCAGAGATTATCATTGGAAAGAGCTTGCAGCTGTTCTGCTTTGCCTCCAGTAGCTGTGCTCACTTGCTGTCACAGCACTGATACAAAGGCACTGCATGTTACAGGGATTATCAGGATATTATGTGGGCAGGCAGGAGGGAAAAAAACCCACCCCAAACATCTAACGTTTCACATATGGTAGCCAAGAGATAACCACATCCTTGCAAAACTGAAAAGCATAATAAAGTTCAGGTGATGAAGTCATATCCTTGCTCCAAGGGCTGATCATCATCTCAGCACTGCCTGAGTTACCATCTTGATTAATCCATATCTGAAGGCTTAATGGACTAAATGAGCCTTAAACACTACAGCTAAATTCCTCCTCTTTGATCCACTGGGCAGTACTTGCCTGCAGTGCTTGTACCTCCTGATGCTAACAGGAACACTGATGTAGCTTCACCCAAGGTTTCCCAGTCCTGAAGCACCTAGTCTACCACTGCTGAAGACCTTGCACCACCTGCAGCTGTATGTATAACCACAGCACAGCCCCACCGGTACAGTAAAACAGATTTATTCTGAGCCAGTTTTGCTAAGCCACATTACGACAACAGTTTGTAACTGTCTGTTCCTTCCCACGCATTTGTTTCCTTTTATTAGTTTAATCGCAAGATTATTTCTGTGGCTGTGGCAAACAAAGGAGGGTTACAAAGATGATAATGCCCAAGAGCTAGGGCTAACTGCTAACAGTACTTCTCCATCAACAGACTATCTCAGCTCTCTCCAGGTGCTCTGTCAGCTTCACTGGCATTGTGCTGATTTGCACCAGCTGAAGAACAGCTATACATGCACACGCTTTTTCTGTTTCTTTCTCTCAACTGCCAACCCCATAAGATCATTCAGCCCCCAAAATATTTATGACTGCAAATACTCTCTTTAGGTGGAACAAGATGCTTTCAACACCACTTCATGTCATGACAGGAAACACAGACATGGTAAAAATGACTAGCAATCCAGAGTGCCTTGATCTATGGTTTGTCTCTGCAAGACACTTTAAAGGCTCCAGCTAAGAACCAATGAGAACTGCATACTTAGTATACACATTTTTAATAAAACAAGAGTCAGATCTTTTGCAGGTTATCAAGTTCAGACACTCAAGATCACTGGAAATTTAAGCTGGCATTTTAGATGAAGCTGAGATCTGTGTATCTGCATCTATATTGGTCCAGAGTCCCCTATTACAGAAAAAATACAATTGTGAAATGCAAGGCGTGCATGCTAAAAAACAAACATTAGGCAACGTCTCTGTACCAGTTTAGCCAATCTCAGCAGGGCAGTTTTATTTGCTCTTCTGAGCAGAGGGAACGTGGGAGAGATGGGCTCCTAAACCATTACATTCTGTAAATAATGAAGAGTACATAAAAGGGTGGAGTGCATGAAGTTCAATGCCTTACTTTTTTAGCCACTCTGCTATATCTGCTGCAGTAGCACCATAGTTCTCGAAGTGGAACAGGAACTTTCCTTTCCTGTTAAAACAACAAAATAAGGTTTAGTCCTTGCCCTGGAAGATAAGAATGTGCAATTATAGTTGAGTTGTATGAATTCTGAAGTAGTAGCAAACCATAACTGACTCAAAATAGCAGATTGTAGGATATCCCCGGACATTGTATTCTTCCTTTATCCTTTCAAATTCTGCAGAGTAAACATTCATCCCAGCAAGAACCTGAAAAAACAGCACAATCACATTCAGTCTTACAACAGGAACATGACCGCTGTCTGAAAGAGTTAAGTAAAAACAACTAAGCTCTGGGCAGATTCTAATTTCAATCATACAGCAGTAAAGCAAAGGGATCTCTGTAAAAGGCAGTGAAGTTTTTCTGATTTTGTTCAAAGGGGAACAGAACAGTATTTGAGTCTAGTCCACAGAAAGTACACATCAATCAGATTGTGATCTCCTTGCTCTGGAAGTGTCTCTTTTAATTCACTCACTAACAGAAATACCTTAAGGGAATTCTCTTAATCCTTCTATTTGTGGTCTTCTTTGTGCATTTGGATGTTAAGCTACAAGCCTAACTAGATTTTTTTTTCCTGCTTCTGCAAGTACATGGCTTAGTTTGTAGCCAAATATTAGCTAGGACACAAGAAGTTCCACCCTCATCTCTCTGGTTTCTACTCCAGCAATGAATTTACAATCCCAGCTAATGTCCAGAAGCTCTAGCCAACGAAGCACTGGTGTTGCTCCAATTCAAAAATGCACTTACTGAATGGCAAGGGGAAATCAGCATTACTTTGATGTTAAAGTAAAACATGACCTATCTCCATGAGCCCAGGAAATATGCTTTAAATATGTTAACTTACCTGACTGGTATGATATAATGAGAGTTAAGAATTAACCTTATCCTACAGATATCAAAAGAGGGGCACAGAAGCATAGTAGCTTTTCAAACAAGCAAGCAAAACAAAAAGCCTCTCCTTCCCTTTTCTTACCTCTATCCCAGATCATCCTCCACAAGAGCCCATGAACCTGAGCTTGAGGCCCAGGGCTCCTGTGACTTATCCTGTGCTTTGTCCAATTGTCTTCCAAAAATTTCTGACCAAAAAGTTGAAGATGGGACTGATTCTGAATTTTTGTGGGTGTGGGATTCACTCAGAGGTCACTCTGCTGTCAAATCTGCAACCAGTGAGCTGCTGAGATACCACTTCATGATTAACTTACATTTAATGGCATTGACAGCTTAAATCATTTCAGCAGCAGAGGTCTTAATCCAAACCCCTCCTCCTTCCCCCTCTAAAATCAGGATTTTCTCCTTCCAGCTGAAATACTGCATCAGAATTTAATACCACCTTCCTGACTGCAGCAAACTGCACAGACCAACCAAATGTGCTCAAAGCCAGCATGAAATAAATCTTAAAGCAGAAAATCCTCGTTTGGAGGTCAACCTTTTCTAAGAACGTACTGCAGTCACAAAAAGGTACTTTGTTTTCTCTCCCCTATCCTAAGAAAGGATAAAAGAAAGGTAATTGAGAAAATTACAGAAATAAGGTTTATACTGGCTGGCCAAGTCTCTTACTTTGAGTCTTCCTTGTAGTTCCAACAACCAGATTGACTTAATTCATATAAAGAAATTAGCTAGACCCAATTCTCCCCTTCCCTTATCCTCTATGTCACCACTTACAAGTAGGTAAATTCAACAGGATCAAGACACAGTGGTTGCTTTATAAGGAACGAGCCAGGTTTGTTAATTAATTCCCTCATAAACACCGCTCTCCCAGATTTCACATTTGCCACGATCTCTCAGAGATTTCCTAGATCCTAAATGGGCATTCCCAGGCATTTCAGATATTCTGCTACAATTTCACTGTGCCCATCCAGCTTGTGGTGATTGATATAAAGTCAGTGACTTGGATTCATAATGGTGTTCATACACCATATAAAGCATAATTAGCAAAAAGCCTATTAGATTGGGATTTGTTTTTAATGGCGAAAGTAACAGCTTTAGCTGGCCTATAATCATAAAATTACCTACTATCAGGCTGCCTGGGATGATCAAAATACACCTACTACCCAGAGCCAGGATCCTCCCTCTATACCTAAGCTGCTCCTGCCAGATGTTTAGCTAATGTGCTTTTAGCAAATGAATGAATAACTCTGACTTCAATTTAAGTCCACTACCTTTTGTAATATCCACAGCAGACACGAAGACCAGTTTATTCCTTTCAGCTCCATAGGGATGTTTGACATATTTCAACACTTATCTGCTCTCCCCCAAGCTACCTGTAACCTGAATCAACTCTGAACCTTTCCTAGCTGGCCATGTCTCTGGGCTTCTCACCATCCCTGTTCTACTATGACCACTCCCTTTTGAGTCTTCATGACAGGACTGCTCCAAAATTGGTATATCACACAACCACTTGAAGCCTTCCTAGAGCTAAACTTAATGAACAGATTAAACAAAGTCTTTCTTTATTTGACATCTGAAGTTGTGTAGGAATTTTATGCTTCTGAAGTCTCATGGTTTTACCAGAGAAAAGATAAGCACCAAAGGAAAGCACTTAAGCATGCGCTCAAGCCAGTCCTTACTGAGCAAAGCATTCAGGCACACCCATGAAGTCCATGGGCATTAAAAAGATGCTGAAGTGCTTTGCTGACCACCATTTTCTCCCTGTACTGGGGGCACAGTGCATCACTGACAGTCACTTGCCGGTGCCCACCCTATCCACAAACCACAGGAATCTCTTGTGTCAAGGACAAAACAAACTACCTTATTCTGTTTTGGAGCCCCTTTTTTCCTTCTGCACTGGGTGTAATAGAACTGCAAGATCTAAAGTGAACATAACACTGAAAATGCCCCCCTGTCTTCCTCTCAGTAACAGTACTGGGACAAGAAACAACTAGTCCCAAGAGAACACAGCTACCAGCAACAGGTACTATTCACCTTTTCATTTTTATGACCTATTAAACGGGCAATACCATACTTCATTTTCCTGATATATAATAGCAGTAATAGCTTTTGAGCTTGGCACATCCTGACAGCTAATGACAGGTCAGATTAAAAGGCCAAACCTTCAGCTCATCCAAACCAATCATAAACTTTCCAGCAAAGTCTGATCTAGAGGTCAACACTGCTGATTTATCATAGGTACAGCACAGTTAGTTTCAGAAACGGCAAACTGTGTACACATTGCACTCAGGAAGCTAATTAGGTCAAATTTAGACAACGAGACTGATTTTTGTGAAAGACACAGGTGGCAGTGGCATAACCAGACTTTCCTCTGAACCGATTCTGCACTAAAAACACTTCTGTGCAAAAAGCACCCTTGATCTGAGCTGCACCAAGCACAGGCACTGCTACTCCCAGAGCAGTGCCACAGCCCTGTCACTCAGCTGTGAAGGATTAGTCTGGATCTACAGAAACCATTTCCAAGTGAGGAAGGAAATAATCAAACTAGAATAGATCTGGAGCTTAAATTCTCTGGTTTGAATTTAATAAAACGAACTGCACATGGACAAGGAAGAGATAACTGCAGAACATAGTGCTCTGCAGCACGCCTTCTCTCTGGCACTACCTCTGTAGGCGACTCTTTAAATTCCAAATTCCCACCCACCCCACGCCTCACAATGTACCCGCTGTCCAAGACAGGAGTGCTTTCCCCAAGACTGCATTGCATGCTCCATCGAGGGGAGATGGCATGAGCGCTGCCTAGCTAGACAAATGCGTTCTTGAAAATACCGTCAAGGGTTGTACCCTGTCCTCAATAAATCTGAACAACTCCCACTCATTTCAGCCTTAAGCAAACAAAGATTTAGAGGAAACGCTTCTGAAAAACTAGTTGGGAGAAAGTGAAGCAGTCTGACAACACTCAATGTTTATAAGCAGCAATGGCCAGAGCTGCCCTAGCAATGTGCTTTATCCTTTCCTCATCACATGTCACCTCTCCCAAGGAAACCTGTAAAACTTGACAGTGAATGATCCAACAGGTAGGATCAGACCAAATCCAGCTAAAGCCATGAAACAATGCTATGTCACTCATGTATTATTGGTATCATATAAAATATACATTAAGCACATTATAAAACCTTGACTATAGAAATGCCTTTGACTTGCTTAGGGAGATCAGCAAGTCTTTTTAGTACAAACAGGTAACTAAATTACTGTGACTGCTGTTGATGGATTTTATTATAGTCAAAACTTACTTTCATTTCAATCCAGTATGAATGTTAGCTTTGTTGACAAAGTAAAACTGTAAGATTTTGTTAATGCTTATACTTAGTGGCTAGGAGGACGATCAGTAACTTACACAGGGAAAGTCCCCTCCCATGACACTGTGATTCTTCACTAAGAAAACTGGATTAATTATTACTGTAAGGGTATCCATCCTTGACCCTGCAGTAAAACATCAGGCCAAAAAGCTGATCAAACATTTCTTTGTTTTTACCAAAATGAGCTCAAAAGGACTACAAACTCACAAACCAGTGACTAAACACACACCTGCATACTGTCAGAGCCCGTTTTTCCATGGCAAGAACTATGCTGGATTAAAAGGCAAGTGAGTTAACACCTCATTCTCCAAAGTTTTAAAAAGAATGAAAACCAAGAGAAAGAATCCTGAAGGGATTGGGACAGGGTCGTTAATTTCTGGTTTTGTTTTGACATACTTAAAAATTGCCCACTTTGTGGTTTAAAATATGCCCCCCCCCAAAAAAAAAAAAAGTGTTGAAAGGGTTTATTTTTAATTTTATGTAAATCTTATCTTCTCACTTACATATTTACCCTTCAGTTCTGTGGCTGCCTGCTGATAAGATGGCATCATTCTCTTACAAACACCACACCCTGATAAGGAAAGAAATCGTGTAAGTAATATGCCACCAATTCAGCCTGTTCTACAGGATCTATGTTCCAGAGCATATGAAATAACACATTTTATATTAGAAAAGAAGCAAACAAAAACCATAAAAATTCATTCTCCATTTCATTATATTAATTCCTAAGGATGTTACTTCTTGTTACATGTTGCATGCTCTTCATGCTATTCGTTTTCAGACTAATTTCTTATCCCAGTTTTGGAAAGAGTAACACCATCCTGTATTCCTCAGACTCTACGAAACTTACATATCAAAAGTCAATGGAAGATGTCATGCTTGTGAACTCAAACAAAAAGCTTTGTGCATTTCTGGTCTTTAAGGGATGGGGAGAACTACTTCAATTCATCCCATCTTAACAAGTCTTTGAAATCAATTTCACAAGCACTTCCTAAACACACTGTACAGACATCAGAAGTTAAAACACTGCTCTGTTAATTGAGAAGACATAACTCAGGAGAAGCAACAATTCTTGTAATAAACAATAATGCATTGAGGAAAAGACAAACAGCAAGTGAGGAAGACCACCAGTGTATAGTTGGAGTGCGCTCTGGAGTGCTAAGCAGATTAGCATTAAATCACCTTGTAAGCTGCAGGTTTCACACCAAATAAATACGTACATGCACATGGGAAGGGGCAGGAATGTAGGCAGCATGAAAGAAAGGAAGCTGTGGCCAAGCACTCCAGATGCTTATTGTGGCAATTCTCGGGTCCACCTTGGGACAACTTTTGTTGTCAACATTTTCGTTCTGGTGAAGAGACAGGAGTTTTGCAAATATCTTCCAGAAAGGAGGAACAGATTTTGTAGCCACTGGTTTAGGATCACATCAGCATGCCTGGGAAGAACATCCTTTAATCAGACAAAAGAGAGCTCTTGTTTCTGTGGTCTTTCCACCTTTGATCTCTTTGCTCAAATTGCCAGTGAGGTTTTTAAATTAGTGCTGATCAAAACAACAATTTCTTGGTGGGCACAGACCACCCACTTGAGGCCCACAGAGGTCTTGCAGCCTCATGCAAACCACCGGACAAGACATCAAAAGATACGAGTTAACAGCATCTTCTGGAAGCTCACTGCTTTTCAGCAGCCTCAGGCCTCAAACTCCTCCAGTTATTGATTTCCCTTTCTTCCCCTCTTCAACCTCTTACTGCTTCCAGGACTCTCTTGTGGAGTGCAGACACATACTAGCCTGTTCCACCCAGCTGTCACTTCTACTGTCCTTCGGCTCCAAGCTCTGCTGCTGCCTCAAACTCGCTGCTCCCAAACCCACTTCAGTACCACCTCTCCTGCCCACATATTTCTCGGTTATATTGTTCAGGATGCTGTAAAGCCACATATATCCCTATGCAGGCATAAAAGGGCAACCTCAAAAAACTGATTTTCTTCTGTCTTCTTGTATTTTGTCTTGGGGATGGGGGGGGGACACGACATAATTAAGCACATATTAGTTTGCTACTTAACACCTCCATTTTTAAAGCCCTGTTTTCAATGATGTTCTGAACAGCTCCTTTTTGTTGCGACATCCAGGCTGTCTCCTCCAGGAGTCTTCTCTGACAGAGTTAACTACAAATAAATCTTGAGTGCCTGTAAGTACATGTAATTTTTCATATTTAGTGCTGTCTGGCTTTAAAATACAGGTCCAAAAGTACAGTGAATGGTCTCCAAATGGCACGTAATATCTTCTAAGGAAAGCATGCCTTTGCTCTGAGTCATTTTACCCAGACCAAGCATACCTGAAATATTAAAGAAACTACATTTAAGTCTGCAGTCGCTTTCATCTCCCTCTGCACCAGTACATAATGAGAGAGCCCCATCTCCTATGAATCTGCCACAATGAATCTAAAATCCCTGCTTCCAACAAAGCAGAGAAATAATGCAGACATCTTCCCTAGAGCTTTCCAAAGTCTGTGATGTCCTCCTGTGCCAAAGACCTCCCTGAGTCACCACTTACAAGAAAAGCAAAATTTCCTTTAGTGACCAGCCTTGATTTGCTGCTCTCAGTTATGAAAGGTAAGACCGGTATGCAACCAGTAACAGCTGCTCAAAGCCAGTACTTCAATGCTGGATGCATTCTGCATTTCTTTTCTATCTTGTTAGATAAGAAAAGAAAAACTGGACAAGAACCAAGTCAAAAGGTCTTGTGTGTTAAATAAAAGATGAGGGAGTTATGAACTGCAAAATCAGAAGGGAGGGGAAAAAAAAACCCTTTACAAGCAGCCTTCCTTCACAGCAGTTTAGAAAACAGCAGAAGTATTACAGCACCGAGAACTAGCAGGTGTTTTGCCACTTCAAAAGAAGAGAAACAGGAAGGAGGAGGGCTTCTGGGGGGGATCAGTTCAAAGAAAACGAAGGGTTAGATAAGGCACATTTCAGGAAGAGGCTTAGTTATGGAAAACCATTATTCCTGATACAGGTAAACGGTAAAAGCACTCTGCAGCTGAACTCTCCCTGAAGGGCTGATTTAAAGGCAGAGCAGGTGTATCATCTCCCGCTGATGCTAAGGTGGCAGCAGTGACTGGGAATGACTGTGAGATGGGCCAGGCCACACAGAACCATCCTGCTGCAGAGTCTGAGGGCACAGACCTGCAAATAATTTAACTAAAGGATAAAACATTCTCTAAGTGATGCATCAAACCAAGTCTTGGGCAATTCTGGCCATCTTGGCAGTACTGAGACTAAAAAGGTAGACTGGTGTTTCAGGCAGTAATTATGAGAGAAAATACTCTGAGAAACACCAGAAAATGCTGCCATGGGACACAGTTTTAAAGATAATCAGCCAGTAAATTGCTAGTGGTGTCTAACATCAATTTTCCTACCAGGGCATACCAAGTGCTAGGAGGCTTTTCTAGCTTAAGTCACAGATTCATTCCTCTCTCATGGCTCCCCTGCTTTCCATCTGAGCAACAACTCCAGTGCAACACTATCTTGTTTTGAAAAGCTGGAAAGTCTCTCACGTAACAGTCACCAGGAAACACAAAAAAAGCAGTTGTAAATCTGCAAAATTAAGAAACAAGCAACCAATGCAATGACAAGATAGCAGCAATACAAGGCCAAAGCCACAAAAGAAATGCAATGACTTCAACATGCTCTTCTCTTTCCTTCCTCTGCCCCCGCAGCCCAAAATCTCACTTGTGTTCATACTCCCAACAGTGTGGGTAGGAACATGCAGGGTGCCTCCTAGATGGAACAGGAAAGATATTCCTGCTCCTGACCACTGCACTGTTCCCTCTGACAGCAGTCAGGAAAGGCTGGGTTTTTCAACTCCACGGTCTCCTCCAAAGATATTCTGCTTGCGTGGAGACAGATGGTCTTATGCTATGGACCAAACTGCAAAAGTAAAAATTGTGTGCAATACCCATTTGCACTTACAACTTTGTACAGGCCAGAGGGCTAGGCACTCCCAGACAGATGTATGAACACTTATGCACTCAGCATACAGTGTTTCCGTCTTATACAACAAAAATCTAGGAAGGACAAAGGGTAAGGAAATCACAGAATCATAGAATAGTTAGGGTTGGAGAGGACCTTAAGATCATCAAGTTCCAACCCCCTTGCCATGGGCAGGGACACCTCAACTAAACCGTATCACCCAAGGCTCTGTCCAACCTGGCCTTGACCACCACCAGGGATGGAGCATTCACAGCTTCCCTGGGCAACCCATTCCAGTGCATCACCACCCTCATGGTAAAGAATTTCTTCCTTATATCTAATCTAAACTTCCCCTGTTGAAGTTTTAACCCATTACCCCTTGTCCTGTCACTACAGTCCCTAATGAAGAGTCCCTCCCCAGCATCCCTATAGGCCCCCTTCAGATACTGGAAGGCTGCTATGAGGTCTCCACGCAGCCTTCTCTTCTCCAGGCTGAACAGCCCCAACTTTCTCAGTCTATCTTCATATGGGAGGTGCTCCAGTCCCCTGCTCATCCTCATGGCCCTCCTCTGGACTTGTTCCAACAGTTCCATGTCCTTTTTATGTTGAGGACACCAGAACTGCACACAATACTCCAAGTGAGGTCTCATGAGAGCAGAATAAAGGGGCAGGATCACCTCCTTCGCCCTGCTGGTCACACTCCTTTTGATGCAGCCCAGGATATGGTTGGCTTTCTGGGCTGTGAGTGCACACTGAAGCTGGCTCATGTTCATTTTCTCATCGACCAGCACCCCCAAGTCCTTCTCCACAGGGCTGCTCTGAATCTCTTCTCTGCCCAGCCTGTAGCTGTGCCTGGGATTGCTCTGACCCAGGTGCAGGACCTTGAACTTGGCATAGTTAAACTTCATAAGGTTGGCATCTGCACACCTCACAAGCGTGTCAAGGTCCCTCTGGATGAAATAAGAGAAAGCAGCTGCTTAAAAGAACAAGGAGCAAGAGTCATGATATTCTACGATGACAAGAGAAAGAGGCAAGACTAGGATACAAGCAATGGACAACTAGGGGAAAACTGAGGACAAACAGGCAGACCACCACCGTAAGTTGAACGAGATGGACAAGATAGTATTAGTGAAGCACAGGTGACATTTCTAGTCAGAATTGGACATCTCAGTGTAAAAGGGAGAGATGACGGGACTTGCTGGGTTACTTACATGGAGCATAGAACATCATTAGAAGAGGTTTGTCTTCCTTCTTCAGAAGCCTTCTCAACTCCTAGTGAATGAATCAAAGAATGTAAAGCCACACCTGTACTCAAGCACACTTTTTATTTGTGTTACAACTTTAAGAGCTAGAGAAGGCTCAGAGGGATATTATCAATGTGTGTAAGTATCTGAAGAATAGATGTCAAGTGGATGGGGCGGGCTCTTCTCAGTGGTGCCAGGTGACAGGATGAGAGGCAATGGGCATAAACTAAAGCACAGGAAGTTCCACCTGAACCTGAGGAAGAACTTCTTTACTGTGAGGATGACTGAGCACTGGAATAGGCTGCCCAGAGAGGTTGTAGATTCTCCTGCCCTGGAGATATTCAGGAGCCATCTGGACACAAGTCTGAGTAATGTGTTCTAGGTGACCCTGTTTGAGCAGGAGGTTGGACTAGATGACCTCCAGTGGTCCCTTCCAGCCTCAGTCATTCTGTGAAAAGTTATTATAGAATTAGTATCTGCTAAATATCCTAGACCAGTATCTTGACTGCTGAGATGTGGAAGTTGCATGGTTTGGTTTAGTCTCACTTCAGAAACTCTTGACTGGAAACTTTTGCTTCCCTGATGTATCCAAAAAGCTATAATCTAATTCAAAAAGTCAGACTCAATAATAAGCAAAACAAATTCATTTTTCACACTATGAATCCTTGTCAAAGCTATGAGAATCCATAAGAAAAGACTTTTCAGTAGCAGCATGATAGAGAAACCAGATGAAATTTTCAAATTGATTGCAGCCCTTGGAAGTCTTATAATAGAGTACAGAGGGTGAACATTAAAAATTAATCTTCCTACAAAAACTGAATGTCAAAATAACTGTTTCTAATATTAAAAATGAAAGCAGGAAAATTGAAAAGCCCTTTACAAAATACCAGCTAGAGTCCAATCAATTAAAGCTTTAAAAATCTATAGACTAGAAAAATAATACAAAAGACCAAGCTGATTATACTAGAGAGAATATAATGGGTAGCTCTCTGGTGACACTGGATTTTTAAAGTAGTTTCATCATATTTGCTGCTTTCCCACTTAACACCAAGAGGACAGTTACTGTGCAAGGTTACATCTCTCAAGATCAGGATCCTGCTCCAGACTTCCTGAGACAACCTCAGGCACATGAGGGAACCCAAGGTTTAACTGCACTGCAGTTGTAAGAGCAGCATTTTACCTCCTACTTGTATCCTGCAGTGACTGCATCTTGGAAGCTATTACACTTGCCTGAGACAAACAGGTCTCTTCTGCCACACCATACACAATGCTTTGATACTTGCCATGCAGCTGGCAGACTAGTGATGCTTTAAATTTCTTTTCCAAAGAAATGAAATAATGGTTCTTCATTAAGAGTTAATGCAAAAAAAACCACATTTCCTTTATCCCATATATTTATAACACACATAGAACATCTATCCAGTTAATGTACCTTTTCACTGTCAACATGTACAACATCTTTGGCTTCCGGATCCTCCTCCCACAGTGGAGCACCTTCTGGATCCTTCAGAAAGGCCACTATAGACTGTAAGATGCAGGGGAAAAAAAAAAATCTTTTGAAGCAAGATGAATGGAAATGATGAGACATCCAATCTCAAATCCATGCTGTCATGCAAATCCCATCTATTCAGTCCCTTTGCTTTTCTGCTCATATTCTCATCTGCTTTAATGCCAATAAACACAAATCTCCAGTTGCAGCACCAAGTCATACATCGGTATGTAACTTCCTGGTAACCGATATCCCAACTTACCAGTTCCTACATCCACCATAAAACTGGGGAAAACAGTGTGAAAGTATAGAGCAGAGTATATACTAACACATGCCAAGAATATCCATCCACATGCCAGGAATACCCATCCACATGCCAAGGCTTGTACTCCACCTTCTCAAGATCAGGTTAACAGCATATCTGGTGACACATGCCACCGAAACAGTCTCAGAGACACTTTTGCCACCTCTCTGCCTTTGGCAGGGTTGTTCTGGTACAACATCCCAACAGCTTATCAACAAAGGAGTTCAGCTCATTTTCCTGCATCTCAGGTAGTAGAGTAAGGCTCCTGCTTATGGCAGGATCCACTTATTGCACTTATGTTCCTGTCTGCTTTCACAAGTAATATTGAAGAGATTTCTCTTATCACAAGAGGCAGCATATATTGCATATGTACACAGTAAGAAAACCTAAGGGGTAAGGTAGTAGTTTTGGGATTACAAACATTTAAAGGAAATCTGTTTTAACATGGCATTAGCAGAGAAAAGAGCCAGCTAGGAAAAAAAAGTCAAGTAATGTACAACGGAGTTACAGTTACCAAAAGCTCTCAAATGAGAAGCATTAAGAAAATAATATACGGGGAAAGGAGAGAAGAGGATAAAACAGCAGAGATGATTTACATTTAGGAGAGCTACATCAAGTTCTGCTCACTCTCAGTCTGCATAGACTGCAAACATACACTGGAGGGAACAAGACAGGGGTCAACATTTTAAACAGCTAATGACTGTAAGAACTCCTCTCTGCCAAGTTCATTCATGTAGAAACTGAGGTGGTTAGTGGACAGGGATTAAAGAGATTTAATTCATCCAGCCTCTCCCCTTCAGCCAAGACAGAAAAAAATCAGAAGTGCAATGTATTCTGACAGAGCAGGCAGTACGTTGCCTTGCATTCATTGCTCCATGCGGTGAAGAGAACTTCCTGTATGCCTTTAAATAGCTGCTCCCAGCAGCACCAACAACCTACAGCACTTCCTAGTCACAGAAAAGCAATGGTCCCCAAGTGGCTGGGTTACAAGAGCAGAGAAAGGCCCAGGCCACAGCAACCCCCAGGCTGAAGAATCAGATATGCTCCTGTCTTGCTATGACATGGTCAGGACCTGCTTTGACTTAATGGCACTGAGAGAGCCATGAAGGGCTGTAACCTGCTGCCCAAACTTCTTCAAGACCTTTGAACCTTAAACATTGACTCAGCAAAATACAGGACATGGCTTTATCCAACCTATGCTGCTAAAAGCAAGCTAGTTTTAACAGCATAATAGCTGGATAAAACATATGGACCTTAGGTTTAAACTTGGGGGGAAATAAATGTATCTCTCTCCATATATAGGCATTCCCTGTAATTTTCACTCCTTTGTAGTAGAGATGCTAATAAAAATATCTTTCTTCATTTCACACACCTGCTCCTTACAACAGCAAACTTGAAAAGGATTCAGTGCTTAGAGCAGTACCAATTTACTGGATTAGTCTATTCCCCTTGCTAGTACTGAGCAGATTTGTACTTTAATGAGTGTTTCCTCCATTTCAGAAGCAGAGTAAAACTCTCCCTCTGTATTACCCTCCAGAAAAGACTTCATGATGTAATAAACACAGCCTGGATACTAGCCTTATAGCACTATCAAGGATAAGGACACGGTGTGGCTAAAGCAACATATGAACAGACATATCAGTTAAGATCAAAGACTGATCTAAGCTTCAGTCTTCAACAGCAGCTTCAACGCTTATGGGAAAATTATACCAGTACAATTCTTACATAACATACACTGATATATGCTCTCAATTTCTGGCAAAAAGTAATTAAGTTTATGGACCCTGCACCAGCTGTTGTATTTGAACCTCTGTACTTGCTAACTATCAATGGATCTCTCCTTTATGACTACATAAAACTGTTTTAAAGATTCCTAAATTCTTGGCTTTCAAAACATGTAGCTATGAGTTTTACAACATTTTTTTTTTATACACTACGGTTACTTGTTTCAAATCAGCCATCCCAAAATGCCAGTGTTTGCACCCAAGTTTGGAGAAAAAAAATAGGTAATCATTCCCTTTTTCAAGCTACAACAGTTATAATCTCATTTTTTTTCCAAGCCCAAGAATCTTCATGCAGATATTCAGGCCATCCATGCCTCTGACCATACTCACTGTCCTTCTGCAGTACTGCTACACCTTTCACTTGATGGCACAATCACAATTACATACAAGACACAAAATGAAGGATCCCAGTGGACTCAGATGGTGAAATAACATTTCCTCTCCCATTCTCTGTTCCTTCCCTAATAATCTGACTTTGAAATACTGAAGCACAGACCCAACCCTGTAGACTAGTAATTCAAAATCCATTACAATAGTCTGCATTACTCTAGCATAGCTGGAGCTGTGTCCTTCCCTCTCATGCTCATTACCCCACAAGCACCTCCTTTCATACTGACAAGCCACTTGGCATTGTGAGAACCTAAACCCTTCTGCAAAGAGTTGGAAATGTTTTTTAATTAATCCTAATCATTTTGCATCACCAAACTTTGCTATCTTGGAGCCCACCTCCCTTTACCAGGTAGCTCAAACAACTCTGATCCTAACACAGGTCCCAGCAGCAAGAGGTTCTGACCCTTAACTTCCCCCCATCTTGCACACCAAGTCATCCTTTATTCCTCATTTTTCTCACACTAAACCCACAAGGGCACCTCTGTTAATTACATAAGGATTTAGTTACTGTAAGAAATGAAAAGCTTTCCATAAAACCCCAAGTACAGTATCTGCTGGATCAGCCACATCTACGAAATTGCCGATTACTTCAGAAGAATCCTTTTATAGCTCTTCAGACCTGTGTCCATCATCCTCCAAAATGTCATACATATATTAATATGTCTACTGGATGCCTGGAAAGAAGATCCAAGTTTTATTGCCACAAGCTTGCTGAATGATGTGAAACAAATCCTTTAATCTCCCTGTTCTTCAGTATGTCCACCTGTCCGTAAAATGAATGATACCCTATGTAATTGTGTTGCTCTGCTGCTTGCTGTTTGTAATGTACTGGGAGATGCCTGACAATCACAGCTGAGAGAGAAAAAGAAAGGTCACTGCCTCAACAGAAGAAAACGGGGAGAAGAGGTTAGAAGGAGAAATACAGAAAACATGCAGGCAGCTGTGAGCAGCAGAACAAGTAAACACTCCACTGAGTTATCTGACCACTGCCCAGCAATGTACAACCTATAAATCATTAGCACCTGGTTTCACAAGGGCAGTTATACTAACAAAGACTAGAGCTCCTAGAGTGAGGGAACTTCAAAACTCTCCTTCCACTTGCACTGGAATCCTACAGCCCCTTCCACTGGATGCTGCTTCCTTCTCCCCAGCAGGCAAGGCAAAAGGGAAGAGGGAAGTGCTGATCACAAAGCAGCAACTGAAGGAATAGATGGTATGGTTCTTGTTGTGCTATGGTTGCCTCTCAGGTTAACACTCCCTAGGACTCTGCAGGTGCTTTCCTTTTGATCCCATCTGTTAGGGAGGAGTCCTAGCACTAATTCCTGGTTGAAGGACTTTATATAAGGCAGGAAAGATATGTCATGCATTGTTTAAACCACCCATATCTAGGCAACTAACAAGTCTCCCTTACTCCACCATCCACCAAGAAGGAAAAGAATTTACTGGGTACCTTTCCTCACTAAATACCGAAGGAGCTTCAGGCACCCGCTGGCTAGGCTGAGTATCTAACACTGCTCCTGCAGGCAAGATTTCTACTGCAGGAGATGGGAAGGTACACAGCCATACTCTCCCACCACAGGTAAATCCTGCATGACAACCCCAAGTGCAGGCTGAATGGATGATTCAAGCCAGGGCATGCTTCCCCCACTCAGGTATCCCAGAACTCTGGCTGTAAAAGGAGCACATGCGCTTACAAACAGCCACTCTGACAGACTGAGGTTCAGCATCTCACACAGGCCTTCCTCCATTCCAGACCAAACATCTGAACAAGCCAGAAAGTAAATGTAATAATGTCAGTCCGGAGTAGTGTCAACAAGCCTCCACAAAAGACCAATGGTGAAGCAGGGCACGAGTTTGCTGGAGGAGGAAAAGAACTGGGAACTGGGCATTGGAGACAGAGTAATTTGTGGAAGCCAAGCCATCACAGGACTGCAGCCTCAGGTGAGAATACTTCCAGGGCTTCACCAGAGCTTCACAGAGGAAGGCTGCACACTTTCAGCCTGTTTACTGTGCTTTCAGTTCACCCTTTCTACAGTCACCAAGATTACAAACACATTTCAGGTTTCACGTCTTCAAAATTGCTTTCTGTTGCTGTGTGTCAAGGTTTGCAGAAGGAAGGCTGTTTTATCCCTGCTGCACTCAGGAACTGCAGTTCCATAGTATGATAGAAGATAAGGCCACCTAGCTCTCTTTAAAGAAACCTCACAGAACTCCTTATCAAAATGCAGTATCAGCTAATACTTTAAGTTATACTGCCATTAATAGCACCTTGTAGACAAAGCAAGAAAATCCCTATTTGTCACCAGCCTGTACATTAACTCACAATTTACATTACTGTTCAACACGGGTTCAATCTTTTTAACTAATCTGCGGTTGGCAGACTTGTACACACACAAAAACCTTTAGGTCATTCTGACAGCTGTTTATGAAGATTAACCCCTTCCCTTTCACCTGGTTTTAATCCACAAATGTACCCATATATTTAGCAGAAAAGAAATAATAATAATTAAATATTTAAATTTACCTTCAGAGTTACCGCTCTGTTATATTCAGTATGAAATGCACCATCCCTGTTGAACAAGCAGTGGGGAACAGTGTTAACTTCCAGTAACATTGCCAGAAATCATGTAGGTGCTCTCACTCCTCACTAACCAGAATAATGTTTTCTTGCTGAAGCCACAAAACTAAATAGAATTTACAGAAGAGTAATCTCGGGGCAGGGGTAAGAGTAAGAAAAAAAGGAGGGTGCAAAACAGAGTGTAAAGCAAGCAGGTTTCTAGGAAATAATTTCCTTCCTTAAACTTTAACAAGAATATTTAGTAAAGCATGATCTTTGGAGATGGAGATGCAGCCGCTTGGTGTCTCTTACACTTAACAGTACTCCCATTCGTATTACTTCCAGGAAAAAAAACCTCTTGCAGTCTCACTACACTTGCCTTTCTCCACTTACTTTATGAAGTACTATCTCAAGTCAGAAAAGCAAGTACAGAGAGGTGGAGCAACTTTGCCCAAGGCACATGCTAGCAGGCATGTGACAGAGAAGGTAAGACAGCTCAAATCTCACTCATCAGCCTTGTGCACTGGGCAGCTTTAGTCCATTGGACATGTCTTCCAGGCCCCACTTATGCTTTTAGTGTACTCTGTTCAACAGTAGAATAAATTTATCTCAACTTCTGTCACAACACATGCATGCAAACTGAAGAAATGGCAGTCAATTTCTCATGCTAAAGGATGAAAAATAAGAAGTCTTCATGCTACAGCAGTATGGAGCTGCAAGTAGAATGAATGGTCCTAACAGGGGCATTAGCAATTAGGAATTACAAATCCCAGCCCAGCACTCACTTATAATGGAGTAATTCCACTCCTTTCTCCTTTGAATTAGGATCTACTTTCATCTTCTTGCATAATTTTCGGCTTTCAGTATCACTGCAAAAAACACATATTGAAAGAAAAATGGTTACAAGAAAGGAAATCAAATGCATTTAGTTGTGAAAACTTATTGCTGTGCTTCCTCATCAGTAATTAGTTGCAAGTAACAGTAATTTGGAAGCTGCTCAGCTAAGTTTGTGGGACAAGCACTGTGGAAAGCTGCATTAGCCAATTTAACTTCTCCTTTTGCTTGGTCAGGACACAATGTGTTAAAATCACATTTCAAAGCCAGGCCTCAACCAGCAGAAAAGTAGCCCATTCTAGCATGTGTGAATACCTCAGCAGACCTTCTGTCCATGGGATTAACATTAAATTTAGGAAGTCAAGATTTTAAAAAGACACTGCTACTGTTAGGGTGGTGGTCAAAGAGCGCTGCTTGTGAAAAGATTCCAAGAGAAAGAGCAGCTCAGCTTTCACATCGGCAGAAAGGAACTCTGAAACAAAAAGAAACACCTTCGTGGTATCTCAAAGCCCAGGCGCCAAGCAGCCAGCCTTAAACAGGTTCTCCTGCAAAAAACAAACATCAACTCGAACCTTGGAGCCCCAAGCCCAGCAACCCGATTTATGCTAGGTATGTCCTGCAGCCACACCTGGCCAGTGGACATAAAGACTATCTGCCACAGCTCTTGAAGAAGGAGGCATGTAACAGCAGCCAGACCTGCTGGGGGTGTTTTTTAAATGGAACAAGAGTGAATTGCTTCCAGCACCTGATCAGCCTGAGCTGAAGAAGAAAGAAGGGTCACAGGAGAAAACTGCATAAACATTTGCTTATGTAAAGGTCTTCATGGCCTAACTGCTGTCCTAAACAATGCAGAAATGATGCTATAAGGACACTTCAAAACTGAAGTAAATGTGAAGTCAGTCAAAGACCTGGAAAAATGAGTGAAACAGTACAACTACAAAGAAAGGAGGATGATTCACATTGACAAGACTATTCTTTGCATTGACAAACAGCAAGATTAAAAAGCTTGAAAACTTGCTCCCAGCAGAGGACAACTTGTACCTTGTACACAGATAAATCAATTTAGAAAATGAAAACACTGAAAACCCATCAAGTTTAAACTGATTAGAGACACATTAGAAAAACCAAGATGCAAGGGTTACAAGAGCCCCACCAAATTAAGTGCTGCTGCCAGCACTAGTGCTAATACTCCCAATGGTTTCCAGCTGCCTTTCTGCAAATGTGAGGAACAATAACAGCAAATTTGCAGAGTGCTACAGATGAGAGCATGGCTTTATGGAAACTTCCCAAATGCTCCCTGTAGATAGAAATGAGGAGAAGTGTGCTATGGACACATGTATCAAAATCAGGATATTATGCTGAAGATGGAAAGAAGCATTTTAAGGAACTAACAAGACATGCAACTACTTCACCAGGAAGGATCACCTGTAATCCCAATTGTGTAGAAGCACGCTTATCTGCAGAGTCTCACTGAATTCATGTCAGTTCTGCATTCTCAGCTCAGAGCTACAGCTAGACACTGTAACCTGCAAACACTTTTTCTGCTTCTCCAGAAGGCTGGAGATCTGAGCCTGAGAAGACAGCTCCCTGTTGCCTGCTTCATCTTTGTTTTCCCCAGATGGCAGTGGAAGGTGGAGCTAAAAGATGTAATCTGTTCACTGAGTAGCATGAACATATCTCCTTGTAACAAAACTAGATTACAAAACGAATAGCCTGGATTTGGAGCTTTGCTGAAAAGCTGGTTTGCGGAGTAGAGCTTGCTACAGAAAGCCTGCAGCAACATCAAGCCCCCAGGCCAGAAGCATCCTGTGTTCTCTCACCTGCAGTCTTCCAATAGTCCCATGGGCTATGCCTAAGCAACCTGAAAGCCAGAGAACCTCAGGAGGAGGTAGGTACCAGTTTCAGACCATCCTCCTCTTACCCTAGACAGATCTAGAGGTGGAGAGAAGCTCTTGTGGCCCTGCTGGAGCTGACTGTCAGTTGACTAAAGTCAGGCTGCACAACAGTCAGTATTTCTAATGCTCTTCTAGGAATTCCAGAATGTTTCCAGGATACATGTATATCTGTGCCCATCTCAGCCTTGCCAAGACAAATGTTGGGTGACCGACATGATCAAGTGCAATGCTGAAACCTACCTCCAGCAACAGGGGTCTGTCAAACACCACGATATGCAGACAACTGTTCTGCAGAGGACCAAAAGGAGTATCAAGACAGGTCTGTGGCCACTTCTACCACCAATCCGGCGTTAACTTCAAACCATGTGAGGAAAAATAAAAGTGCAATTTTCCCGTATGTGTCATTTAGAGATCCAGATACTCATCTTGGAAAAGTTCTGCAAGGTTTATAATGGAAAAAGGCTACAAAAAATTACTAATGAGATGTACTTGTGAGCAAGCAACTAGCAATTCCTACTATTTCAGTTCCTACCAATTTATTTTCTGTTTGCATGAGTTTCTATTAAAAAAAAAAAGAAAAATAAGAACATCTGTTTCATTGGAAGGAAACAGGATCTAAGCCTGCCCTGCTTTCAGGATTGCTCCTGTAGCTGCCTGAATGCACATCCATTATCACAGGAAACAAAGCAGCAGTTTCGTCCAGTATGTCTCTTACCATTTAGTGGGCAGATTCTCTGCACCGCTGCATTGGGAGTTTAGTCTGTTTATGCAAGCTATCTGCACTGATGCAAGGGACTGAATAGGAGCAAATTCCCAGAATAAAAAGTGTCTAAATATGTATCAGTAATTTTTGCATGCATCACTGCAGATTTTTGCACATGCCAGACCCACCAGCTCAGTTGCTATACTAACAGTTCTTTAGGAAAAGCAGAAAAGGACACGTACAGAAACGGCAGAGATGGACCTGGTCTGATTTTCCTTCTTCTTTCACTTACAGACAGAAAAAAATAATCTGCAAAGAGCAACCTGCTCTGATACCACTTGGTAATGACCATTATCCTTAATAAGAGCAAATATCAACACAGATGGAGTCTCTGCACTGAGATTTGTCTCTTTTGGATCTCAGCCAACAGCCTCTCTGAAGATGAGCTCCTCAACTCTCACATGGGAGAGGGTAATTAGGACTCCAGTTCTTGCAATTTGATTATACCACTTGAAGAGGCAGCGTGTTGTTATAAAAACTAACAGAAAAACAGGGGGGTGGGGGGGAGGATTAAGAGGAGGAAGAGGAAAAAAGCCCAACCCTAAATCTAAAAAGCCAGAACCCACCCCCAGAATCAGCACTCTACCACTGAGGCCAAGACACTCCAGACGAGGCATCAGGCTCAGGAGATACTGGTCTGAGGATGAGGTCAGTAATGTCCCTCAGTAACTGTCCTTGGTTGCCTCATGGCATTTCTGACCAAAGCAATTTGAACCCCTGCAGGTCTCTGCTATGCTACTGCTGAAGGGACCCCTGCTTTACCTGCAAGCAGTCATACAAACCGCCCAGATGTAGCCCTGTGGAAAATCATCCAAAACATCAACCTATACGCAACATCACCAACAACCTAACCAGCAGCTGTCCATGTGGTAATAAGGTCAAACCAGTAGAGGCATGATGGCATGGCATGCTCCCCCCATGCTCCCTCCCCCTTCCCACAAAACCAAACTGGGGCTCCAAAACACTCCTTTGCTGGAGAGGCAACGACATATGGCAGCTTGGTAAAAGGAGCGATAAAACGAAAGATCCAAATTAACCTAACTAAGCAAGAAGTCTAAATAAGAATAAAGACAGGGTGCATCACAAGAATACTTCACCCCTTTCCATTCACATCCCCATGTCCTCTAATGGGAGACACTTCTGTTGTTTGGGGTTACAACGGAGCTGGCAGGAAGCCTGACTAGAGCACTCCCTGTAAACCTCTGGAGTCCCTTGTCAGCATTAGTATGCATGAATAATCACTTTGCACAGGCAGCCAGCTGCTACCAGGGCAGGAGGAGGGTGAGGGGCTTGTGAAGGAGACCTGACCTCCTTTAGCTCACCACCAGTGAAACTAGCACCTAAAGGGGACGTGCCACAAGCATTCCTCAGGAGCAGCGCAGGGTGCTCTGCTCTGCAAGGCTGCCCACAGACCCGGGAGCTCAAGGTCATAAGGATGGAGAGGCAGTGAGAGATACTGATGGCAGTCCCCAGTGGCAGGAGCAACACAGCTAGACAGGAGGAACACAAAGTAAGATACAGGAGTCTGGCTGCAGGAAGTCTAAGCTGGTTTCTAAAAACAAGTCCAAGCTGTATGGGTCCTGAATAAGAAATGGAGGTGGCAGTGCAAAACATCCTCCTTGGGGCGAATTCAAATATTGTCCTGGCAGGTCCTCAAGGCAGCAGAGTAAGACCGAACATCCTCAGCACCATCCTCTCTCATGAGCACAAATAAGATCTTCTGCAGCTCCTTAATTATTTCTTTTATCACATAATGCTGCCCACTGGCTTCTCATCAAGAAGTGAAAACAGCCTTACAACCACATCAGCTTCCGGGGAGGAAGGATCTGGAATGACTGTCAAATCCCCTCTTAGGAAATGACAAAAATGCCATCCAAAAAAACTTCATGCCTCCAGTTGCCAGTATAACAGCAGCATGTGCATGTGCTGTGTGGCCACACCACTTCAATGCCACAGTGCTGGAATCTACGAACACTTTCTAATACTGGGCCCAGCCTTCTTTTTCATCCATACCTACAGTATTTCCAGGCACAAGAGAAGTAATTAATAAAAAATCTGACAGCTGGTTTAGAAATATGTAAGTAACCAGGTCAGTAAATCTGCCTGCACAAAAACAATCTCACTCCTCTCATTGGCATACCATGCAACCACATGTGAACCACAGACCTCACAATCTGTAAATAGATTTTATCTCTTTGTACATCCGAAAAAGGGCTGAACAACCCACATGAATTACATTTCAGCAGTCCCTTTTATCACAGTTGCACATGTAGACCCAACACAGTGGAGACTCTGTTATATCAGTGGCTGTACAAACACTGTCACTGTCCCAACAGATGGAAGACACAAGACTGAAGGTAAGGAGGAGAAACAGGCT